GACTTGGAAGATTCCTGGAATATGGGAATTTGTTTTCCAACAGAGACAGTCCCAATTAAACCAGGACTAATTGCTCACCCTAGATGATGATGACTGATATATATGGATTACATGTCTGAGAATGGTTGCCAATTTTAAGAACTGAGGGGTTGAAAAGTCTCCCTGGAACCCTTTGGGTCATCTGAAGCCTCTGGCTTCAAGGGTGAAGCCTAGGTGTAGAGCAAGTGAGGGCAGAGCAAGTGAAGGCAATGGATTACACCCACAGCACTGAAGTCGCCCCACACCTCCACCCAGCCTATCTCCCCCCTTCCCAGACCTAAATCCATGCTTCCCACAGCAACGTCACAGCCTCTCACACTGCTCAACTCTGCCCAGCCCTGCCGTCCCCCAGAGCTCTCTTCTTCCGGGCTCTTGCTCTCCGTTAAGTAGAAAAGCTAAGATTGAGGTTGTGCTAGCTGGGAATGGTTACCTCCCAAAGCCAACGTCACTAATGGAGCCTTGATTTTTATTCAGATCTTGGGTCACTGAGGTGCCCAGTGTGACAATTGCTTTCCTCTTTGCTTACGATTGGTTTAGGGTACCAAGGGCACCAGATCTGGCCAAGGAGATGTCGAAGAAAATCTGCTTGGGCGTTTCTGGAAAAGGGTTTAGGTCTGCCACTTCTTTCCTGCTTTGGAAGTCGTCGAGTGATGACACAACTTTGGAGCTCCTGCAGCCATTCATCATGCGACCATTTAGCGGGGACGTAGGGGGAGGGGTGAAGGGGGTGAGAGAGGCAAGATCACAGAGATACCAACCCAGAGTCATGTCGTTGTTGAATTACTGAACCAACCATCTACTTCAGATGTCTTGTTATGTGAAAAAGTGGACTCCCCAAAGGAGACAGCATAATGGGTATCCTGGGGCTTGCAGCTAGAAGCTCTTGATAGAAGAGAAGAAAGCTTAAAGCCCTACAGCAGACAAAACCATGAGAGGACACTTAGACTTTCACCCTGTCTCCAGGTAGGACACCTGAACACAGTGCACCTGAGCTCTCCAAGACAGGAAATTCACAAGCTTCCTGCCTCTGCCTCATCACCATCACTCCAGGATGACTCACCTCCTTGAAACTGGAGGGCCACCCCCATGGGACCCTGCAGCAAAGGGGGCCAGCCCATCACTCCAAGTCCTTTCCTTTGGTGGGGGTGGGGGTCAAGACAGGGAGCTCTGGAGTCTTGCTGTGTACGCCTAGGCAAGTTACTTAACCTCTCTGTGCCTCCGTTTCTTCATCTGTCATGGGGATAATAATACCTAACTCACAAGGCTATTGTGAGGATAGTAAGGATGAAATGTCTAGGGCATCTGACACTGCATAATGGGTCCCCAAGACCCCCCCTCAAATTCAATGATTCACTAACACCACTTACAAACTAAGAAAAGCTGTTATACACGTTATCCGTTTATCACCGTTAAAGGATGCAGACTAAGATCAGCAGAGGTAAAAGGGGCATAGGGCAAGGGCCAGGGGAGACCAGGCACAGTGTCCAGTTGTCCTCTCCCGGTGGAGGTGTGGGGGTAACACTTGATTTTCCCAGCAACCACGTGTGACAACACATATGAAGTACTGTCCACCAGGGAAGCCCACCTGAGTCTCGGTGTCCAGGGTTTTTCTTGGTGGTTTATCAGTAGGCATAGAGCGCCCCCAAGGCTGGCCTTAGCTCCTCTGTCTCCAGCCCCTCCAGGGGTCAAACTGATACAGCCTGACTCAGGTCCCGACCATAAATCACACTGTTAGCATAAACTATCTGGCATGGCCCAAGGCCCCAGGTAAACTAAGACACTCTTATCAGGCAGCAAATTGCAAGGGCATAGAGGCTATCTCCCAGGAGTTGGTCAGGAGCCAGGCCTTCCTTTGAAATGTGCAAGATTTAAACATCCCACACTTGCTGAGTCAACCACAGACACACGAGAAGCGCCCAATATTATTTTTGTTTCTAACATAGGGCTGAAATCTGCCTCCTGCTAGCAGCAGCCACCCTTTGTCGCTAGTGCTGCCCTGTAGAATTATATGGCTTCGGTCTAACCGTTTTTCCTAATTGTTGGGGGAGGGGGACCCTTCCGTCCCATGCCTCTTTCATTACGGAGGGCCCTCCACTCAAGTAGCACCCTGACTTCTCCTTCCCCTCACTTACTCCTCTCTCAGGAAAGGGGAGTGATTTTCTGATTGGTGGATTTGGGAGAAAGGTCAGCCCTTGCACAGCTCTGTCTTCAGCTGCCCTTCTGTAGAGAGGCCATATGCGCCAGTTTACAGAAGCAGCTGTCCACCACGGGAGAATGCACCAAGTCCACATGGCTCATAGGCCCTAATCCACCTCCTCAAGCAGCTTTTTCAGCTATAAAGGTGATACTTTGTTGCCATTTGCTTGGCTCCTATGTCTATCCCTCAGCTAGTTCCTAACCGAGGTGGGTTTTAGCCCCCTTAAACTCCAAACACACTCAGGCCTTCCAATGTTTGGGAAGTCATGATTGGGTCTCTCTCAAACATCCTCTGCCAAGGTCCCTGGGTCCTTCGATCACGCCCTCTCCTCAGGATTCCCTGGCTTGTCCCTGTCCTCTGGGCATAGTCCACGTTGTCTAGGGCCCTCTAAACTGTTGGGTCAGAACTAAGCATAGACAATTCCAGGTGTGGCCTGGGGGGCACCAACCACAGGCCAGCATCACTCAGTCTCTTCTCAGAATTCCCATAAACACCATCTTTCTGAGCAGTCATATCACATGCTGAACCTGCAGTAGACTCGAATCCTTTTCCATATGAATTAGCGTTAGATCCATTTTCCTCTGCACAGGACAGTCAATTTTTTAAACCTTATCTTATAGCTGGCCAGTCAAGTTCTCCTTCTCAGATACATTTGTAAACACACACACAGGCATCCCCTACAAGGTTCAGGGGTATAAGAATCTCTCCCGCAAAACAATCCTTTCTCCCAGAGCTTATCTCACCAATTTCAGTACACTCATATGTTGTCTACTCAAGAAGTATTTAGAGATACCTACAAGGCTTCCCAAAATACTGCTTGGTGGTGAAGAGCTTAGCCTCTGAAGCTAGACATTCTTAGATTCAAATCTCAACTCTACCATTTATTAGCTGTGTGACCTTGGGCGAATTGCTTGGCCTTTCTGAGCTTTGGTTTCCTCAAACTCCTACAGTAAAGGTTAAAATAGTACCTACCTTCAAAGGGACAAGCCAGGAGCCTAGAATATATCATATTCTTGATAACTATAAGCCAGTAGCAGTAGTAGTAGTACTAATATTACTAATATTAATATTAACATTGTTATTACCACTTCAGCTAAACTTTCCAAAGTAGAAATGGCCTAAAGTTAGAATAGGGATGCAGCCCTTCAGGGGAGATGGTTGATGGATGGATATTGCAATTAACAATGGGTCACAGGGTCCTTGTATGACATTTGCTTGGGGGTCCAGATGTTCAAATCTTGTTTGGAGAGATCCCATGAAAGAAAGAGGAGGAAGGATGGGGTTGAACTGGAATATCAGAGGGTCTGGCACAGGCAGTAAGGCCCAAGCTGGGAGGACAGAGGTCCCACACTCCTCGGGTACTGACTCTGGCCTCCAGGCACCTCGCTTCTGTGTTCAGGGGAGAATCTCTGCTGCATGGCAGTGTTTCGGGGGGACCAGAGACGTGATATGAGACTCAATGAAACAGAAAGTCTCATTGGAAACAAAAAACACAAGGACATGTAAGCTACCTCTCCAGTCACCAATGTGACAACCTCAACCTTCCAGAAGAACAGGTCTGTGAACAGATTGATGAGGTTCCAAAGGGACAGCGGGATGGCAAATGAGCACCGGTGACCTGGATTTGAACCACGGTTCTGCCACTTTCCAGAATGGAGACCTTGGGCAGCGGTTCTCAACCTTCCTAACCCCTTAATACAGTTCCTCAGGTTGTGGTGACCCCCAACCATCAAATTATTTTCGTTGCTACTCTATAACTGTAATTTTGCTACTGTTGTGAATCGTCATGTCAATATCTTTTTGTTTTCCGATGGTTTTAGGCAACCCCTGTGAAAGGGTCGTTCGACCCCCAAAGGGGTCGCGACCCACAGGTTGAGAACCGCTGCCTTGGGTAAAGGACCAGCCCTCCCAAGTTCAGTTTCCCCTGTGCGTAACGGGGAAATAACACTTGCTTCCCAAGGTGCCTGTGGAATAAGCGGGTTGGTGTGCGTATGTTGCCTGAAAAATGGCTGGGCACCATAACAATTCCTGCCCCATGGGTCACATGTGACTACCAGTCTCACTATGTATAGCCCCACTCTTTGGAGGCACTGTCACCTAGCGCACAATCAGTGCACTGAGCTCATATGACTCCTCCCCCTGGAGCCTGAATAAGCTCTGTCAATCTGATTGGTGAGTCCGCAGACTAAAGGGAGAGGAAGGAGAGGTGGGCAAAGGCAGCAAAGTGAGACATGAGTGTCCGATGGTGACAGCAGACAGAAAAGTCCACTAGGGGAGGATAAGAACAGCCAAAGCAAAGTACCCTGAGGCCATTTAGTGCATGGGCAAACGACTGACCCCTCTCAGTAGGCCATGCATTATGTAACAAATCATGAGAGCCTTGAGTCATTAGAAGTAAGGTAAATAGGTTCAATGCAATCAGTTTAAGAAGATCAAAATATATATATGTGTGTGTTATACATTTGAGCAGTATTACCAATACAAACAGGAAAACAGTTAACGGTGGAAGTTACAGGTGTCTAAAAGACAGTATTGGGGCACCTCCATCTTGGATGATGCTGGATGAATGGAGCTTCAACGAAAGAAGATAGTGGGGTCGTTTTCACCTCTCAGCAAGGTGTTATTTCCGTAGAAGGAAAGCAATGGAAATGGGGGAAAGGGGAGCAAATGAACAGGGACTCAGGCTTGTCCTTCCATTAAAAAAAAAAAATCTTCTACTTGACTGCTCGGCTAGAAGCTTGGTTTCAACGTGAGGAGGCCTCGGTCAGTTCGCCTGGATCTTCTTGGGGAGGCCCAGCGCCTTGCGGCTGCTGCCCAGCAGAATGCACTCCAGCCGCCTGCAGTGCTCCCGGAGCTGCTTCTCCCGGGGCAGCAGGAAGGTGAGGACCTTATTCCGCACGATGCCCCGGTCCTCCTCCTCCCTTAGCCGCTGCTTCACGCGGGCCGCCTGCTCCTCCTGCTGTGCCAGGGCCCCATTCATCTCACAGAAGGCACCTTCCAGGTAATGGATGGCCTTCAACGCCTCCTTCTTAAAGTCCTCCAGCTCCCGCTGCACCGCAGCCACCTTCTGCTGCAGGGCCTCCAAGTCGGCGGGCGGCGGGAGGCAGGAAGGCCACGACTGCGGGAGGGAGAAGTCTCCGGACTGGAGGCCGCTCTCCACCACCTTCTTCCCTTGTAAAGTATTCACCTTCATGAGAATGGACCCAGCCTGATAGAGTGGTTCCATGGTCTTTCTTCCCTTTTGGACAAAGAGAAGGAGCTAAGAGATCAACCAGGTCAGTGAGGTTTGGTTTGGTTTGGTTTGGGGTTTTTTGGGCTAGAGACACAATCGTTTGGAGTGGAGAGAACCACATATTGTGACATCAGGGCCCCCTCAGCCAACCAGGAGGGAAGCCACAATCCATTCATTTGCATATTATAGCCCCCTTGGTTGGTTATCCAGGGCTTTGTCGGCTCATCTACCCAAGAAGTATTTCGTTGTCCCTGCTGAGATGTGAATTCTGATTGGCTCATCACTCTACCAGAACCAGAACTCAATCTTTTCTTTACCCTGAGGGACAAACCAAGGTTCAGAGAAGGAAAGTAAACTGGCCAGAGCCAAGCAGACCAGGCCAGGGTCACTGTCCCCCAAGTCTGGATGGTCTCCCATACTGGCAAGGGGCCTGGAAGGTTCTGGGCTTTAGTACCTCATCAGTGAAACAAGGACATTGTAAAAGATGATACCTAATCCCAATTCTAGCTCTAACGTGCTATAAAAAAGAAGTAATTTCTGATTCTAAATCCGTACTCCGATAATGATACCAGAATTCTAGATAATCTTAGAAGCGGCAAGAAATGTACTTAGGTTTTGATATATGGTCCGCAGCAGTGCTGATTCAGGGTGTACAGGGTAAAATGAAGTCATTAATTCATTTATTCCATGAGTATTAGCTGCGTGCTCACCATGCTCCAGGACCAGGGAACAAGTGAGAGTGCTTGGCCCCTCGCTCTCTGCCCTGCCAGGTCATGCCTGAATATTGACAAAGATGAGAAAAAGAAACATAGAGAAGGATAAATCTCACACTTTTTACCTAAAAGGGAAATATTTCTAGCTAGCCTATGTTTGGTTTAGTGAAGAACAAACCTCTATGTTGCAAATCTCAATCTCTTCCCCAGACTTCTCTCCCAGCCCCCAATCAAAACGTCTCTTCAACAGTTGTGCCGCCAATTCAATCCATCAAAAGCTGGACGGGTTATCATTCCACCAAACTGGTTCCTGTTCCAGCGCTGCACCTACACCAGTACCCACATGAGAAGCCTAGTGGGTGCTAGTGGAATCAGCCTACACCCCTTGACATCCAAGTGACTCTGAGTAATATTGATTCCGCTATCTCTGAGCATCAGACTACCTGGGTTGGGTTCTCCACTCCACTACCTGCCAGCTGTGTCTCTTTGGCAGATGACTTCACCTCCCTGAGCCTCAGTCGTCTTATCTATGAAGCCAGGACACCAATTCAGTGGTGTGCAGGTAGCGTGCAGCTCTCTGGGAGGAAAAAAATAAAAACAGCTCTGATTTACAGCTGTTGCCAATTTCCATGGTGTAAATATTTCCACTGCGGCTGACTGCAAGCTATTCAATACCAACAGGATGTCTCTGGGAAGAGGTGTGCACGATCAGCCCTCATGAACCCAGGCAAACCGGCTCCATAACCACAGGGCCTGTGATGAGGGCAGCTCCAAGATGCAGGTTGACCTGCCTAGATTGCCGAGCAGTGGGCATCGGAGAGGGCATTTTGCAGGGAGGTTCATGGCTAAACTAAGGTGGAATTTTGAATCTCAAGATGGGACAGCAACTCTAACTATTGAAACAGAATATTTGATGGAAAGCGCACTTGTTCTAGGAGCGAGGAGATCTGGTATCTGGATTGCTGTGTGACCACAGGTCAATCACCTCCCTTCTCTGAGCCTATTCCTTCTACTGTAATGTGAGAAGGTGAGAGGCAGCTTCTGTGATGTCTCTGATGTCCTAAGATTCTCGCAATCCTTCCTTTAAACCTCTCCTGAGGCACGTACGGCCTTCTCCCTCTTTTTGTGACCTAGGACCTGTCCTTCCAGGTTCCGGATGGCACGGTAAATTCCATGAGGACAAGGACTGTGCATTTCTCATCCTACGGACCCTCAAGTGTCCTGCCTAATACCCTGCCCATAATAGCACTCAGAAAACTAGATGAAATAGACGTTTTATGCATAGGTGGCTATCAAATCCTGCGGCTCCCCTGGCTTTCCCTCTGACATGATGACACCTACTGGTCTGAGCAGAAATAGCACCCTCTTTATTCCCCTACCTAAGATCCAGATGGGGACGGGGGCAATGATGTAAACAGCCCGCCGTCTTGTGGTGTATTAATTAGGTGTGTGTGTGCAGGTCCAGCCTTTAGTAGGTTCTTGTTAAATATTTCTTGAACCAGACAAAGAAAAAATGTGTCTCTGTTTTCTGGTTTCTGTCATTCTTTGTTTTCCTGTTTGTTCTCGTTCTCTCTCTCTCTCTCTCCCCCCACCCCCCCACCCCCAATTCTCTGTCTCCCACTGGGAATGGTGTCAGTCATAACCAGAGCTATGAAAGAAAAGTAGTGAAAGTTAAGAAGGAACGGCAATTTCTCAATTTCCCTGGTGCTTTTTACCGAGGTTTCGGTTCATTTCTCCTCAGAACCGGCCAAGAAGGATAGTGTTTCCACCTGAACCTCTGCAGAGGTTGAGAGCAAATGAGTGCCCTGTCAGCAGAGGACCCCAGGCTTGATGGCCCCCGAACCTTCGGGGCATCCTCAGCAGGGGCAACGCGCCGGACACATGCTCTGCTCTGAATGTTCTAGAATTTTCGTAGTCCGGGCCTGTGCCTTACTCACAAATTTCCTTCCGTGTAGCCTAAGAAAGTAAGAAGGCAAATCTATGTGTTCCCCTCAAGGTGTCAAGAGAAAGGAATTCTAACATCTCCTGGCAAGGCATCTCTGGGGCCCTGTCAGGAGGGTTTCTCTGTCTCTGGTCTATTTCCACAGTGTACAGGCTCCCTGCATCTCAGAATAAGGAGGGGATGAAAGGGAGGTATCAACCCCACAGAGATCCAGACCCCAGACCCTGAAAATCAGATTCAGCCCGAATGGGAAGGGGCTCAAAGCAGGCGTGTTTTAGGAGGTCCTAGGTGGGGACACTCCTGCTGGGCCCCGCCCGGATGGGTCAGCACCCCTTCCCAGCCCCTGGCATGTGCCCTCTGCCCATGCCTATGCCTCTGCATGTGAAATAAACCTTGGTCCTTTTTGGGATCAAGAAAAGGGACACAACACAAAAGTCCTCCATAATGTACCTCTTTAAAAGTGACGGGAACCCTCCAAACCTCCTCACATCCTGTTAGAATCACAGTCACAATCCCATTTCTTTTTTTTTCTTTTTTTTAATTGGGGAATTGGGGGATGGGAACAGCGCTGGGGAATTGGGGGAAGGGGAACAGACAAGTTGCTGTCCTTTTGTTCTTCAGTCTAGTTGTGGAGGACGTTGCTTCACTGGCCCAAGTTGGCACCATCATTGCGCTCTTTCCGGGCGAGGCAGATCAGTCACCGGCTTCTGGACGGCCGCTCACGCTGGCTGCTGGCTACACACGGTAGCCCATGGCAACCCACTGCAGCAGAGGCTGCAGCCTATGCCGTCGCCAGTGACTCACAGCAGCCCAGCTCCAGGTTGAACTGTTGTTCAGCATCTTAGCTGTAGAGGGCAGTGTCACTGGCCCTCATATATGGGATCCGAACCGGGGCCCTCTGGCATTTTAAGCCAGCTCTTAACCAACGCACCACTCAGCAGACCCACAATTCCATTTCCAAGCCAAGCACTAGCTGGTGGGTGGAACTCCCATAGATGGCTCAGAGGGCTGGGCCTCCCAAAAGCACAGGCCTCCCAATGGAACGACCAAATTGGGGTTCTGATCCTGAGTAAGAATGAGGAGGATAGGCAACCAACTGTGGCTTCCACAAAGAATTGTTATATTTGAAAACACAGTGAAAGGACCATGCTTAATCTCCAAAAATGAACTTCTAATGCCAGCTTTCAAGCAGAGTCTTCTAGGAGTCCCCTTAAAACTGGTCTATCTTCCCCTCACCCCCAAGAAAAAAAATTATGAGGAAAAAAAGAAAAACACCTCAGAATTCAGAGCAATCTCTCACCAATACCAAAGAGCATGTGTGTGGATATTTCCAAAGCAGAGAGTGTAGTGGGTGGCCCCACCCAGCATACTGTCTTCCCAGAACCCCTGGGCCGGGACCTCCCATAGTGGCTTCTTGCCTGGGGGAGGATGCTACACAGCCACTGTCTCCCCAGATGTGCCCCTACCAACAAGAGCAATCTTGACACACTGCATCTTAAAATCCAAGCCCGTGGAGGGCCTCTCTCCAGACTTCCACTCATCTAGCCATCCAGTCGTATATTCAAGGACATTCAAGGAGCCCCTGCCCTGTGTACTATGAGCCAGGCAACAGGGATGGAAGATGGCAAACAAGATAGAGAGGACCTCTGTTCTCAAGCCGCTGGCATTTCAGCAGGAGACAGACAACAAAGTGAGCAATCAGCAAAGTAGGTGGTTTAGGCGGGTCTAAGTGCTCAGAAGGAGATACACAGGGCAAGGTGATGGAGATCCTGTAGGCGGGAGGGGTGCTCAGGGAAGGCCTTTGTGAGGCGAGGGCATTTGGGGTGAAACAGGAAGGATGAAGATGCCTGAGGGTAATGTTCAAAAGGGAACAGCAAACGGAGAGGCCTTGAGGCAGGAACAGGCCCAGGTGGCTGAAAGCAACTAGCAGCAGGAGGAGAGGCGGGGGAGGTGCAGGGACATGGGGGGATGGGATGGTACCCCCAGTGTATCCCCAGTGCAGTGTGAGGGCTGTGAATGACTTCTAGCTGTGTATGACTTCCACCTCTGCGGCTGGTATTCCAGTCTGGGGAATGGGGACAAGGCTGGGATGGGGGTGAGGACCAGAATCAAGAACCTGTTCACTGTGATTAATTAACCCAGAGCCAGGGCCCCAAGGCACAGTGCTAAAAATACCTGCTTCCCTCTGTGATGCGGCAGCTGCCACCTAGCAACTTTTACCCGTCGCCATTTATCATAATTTGACATTGATCAGGAGTGTCCACAGGGCTGTGTGTCTGCAAGAATCGAACTCATCCACAGCCCACCAGCCAGCTGGTTTGTGGAAACCATTCATGGTGCTTTCGTATCCGAACTCCTCTCCCATCCCCGAGCACCGCCTTGGCCACCCCTGGATGTGCCTACCACCTGCCCATCGCCTGCTGGTTTCGCCTCCCCTCCTGGAACCCAAGTGGATCCGCCTCTGGAGTGAGAGCCAAAGCATTCTTGAGAGCAGGAGCACATGCTGTGTTTCACACCACTGCAGCCCTGCAACTCGGCTTAGAGCCATCTATCAGAAGCCCTGCCAGCCCAGGGCAGTACTTTAATTAAAATATGTAAAACACCCTGGTGGGAGTGAATCTGAAGACACAGGAGCGGTCCTTGGACACAGAGCAGCGCAGGCAGCCTCACTAGTGGGCTGGCCCTTCTCCAGCCCCGGAGACCTAGGACTGCTCCAGGAGGGCCCTCCAAAGCCCGTTGGGCAAGGTGACGTCTGCCCTGTACCATCCACCCACTCCACCAGGCGTGGGACTTAGCTGAGGCAGAATATTCACAAGAAAGAAAGCCTCGCCTCTCAGGCAGGGTTCACGGGCCAGTATGGTGACCAGAGAGCAGGCCAGGAAAGGCCTGGCATCACCCCAGTTGGAATATTTTATCCCACTTTCAACACTAATTTTCTTAAATGATCCTTCGTGAAGCCAGTACCTGGACGTTTATATAACTCTTTAGCAAAGCCATTTCCATTTTCAGGACTAATGAGTCCCCAAGCTCTTCCTTTAGACTGTCTTCTATGTGGACGGAAGCCTGGTCTGCTCTGTTTAGGGCAGGGGTGAGCAAATTTTGCAGAGAGGTCAAATC